ACGGACCCACACGTGGGGCGCATACGACTGCAGTTGAGCATGGATGTCAACTAGTCGGTCGCTGATTTAGAAGGTCGAAAAGGTCTACAGTATAAAGGCCGAGGCTGACGACTCGACTTGCCTCTCCAACCCATCGCTGTTACCAAAATAATCTCATCCACGATGCACTTCAACACTTTCTCTGTCGCTGTGTTGGCACTGCTTTCGCTCGCCGGGGCCAAGGCTGACGACAAGATCTCGACCGCTGGCCTTGTGGTCGACGACAAGCAGGTAGCCAGCTACTGTGCCATCCCGGTCAAGCCGGAGTTCAAGGAAGTCGAGTTCGTCTGCTTTACGCTCAAGGGCGACATCCAGAAGCAGATGACCAACCCGAACCGTCTCAAGGGATTCGTCAACAAGGCTGGCAATGGTAAGTCGACATCGTCGTGCAAATTGTGTTTGATCGTAACGGAATTTTTACTGACCTTGACGCTTACGATGTACAGCCTTTGTCGTGCTGGGCCAGAGCGGTGCACAGTCCTTCTCGATCGGCGACAAGCATGCTGTCCTTCACCCGATTGACGCACCGTACTGCCGCAAGGTCGAGGTGACGTCGGGTGGACCAGAATCGGGAGCCACGGCCACTGCGCAAAAGTGCCCGGGTAATGTTCCATTCGACCTGTCAGGCGAACTCAGCGCGATTCCTCCTGGAGCTGGAGGCCCCTAATCAGGAAACCATGGCAGCGTGAAGCCTGAAGTGCCTGCACTTCGAGTATCGCCCTGCTACTTGTCTTCGGATGTGTTCAGTCTTGCGCACGTTGCAAGTATCTTCAATGTGTATACATAGCGTCCGCCGTCCTTCGATCGCTTCCGTCCAATAACAGCGTCTCTCCATCGCTTTCGTCCAATCCCATAGTTCTTCTCTACATCTTAGCGCGTTCCTGAGAGTCTACAAGCTGTGGTTGGAACGTGTGCATGATGTTCATCCGACCGGACTTTACAGCCGCACAGCAGACCACTACCACCTGGCGGCTCGTCGCATGTGTGGGACGTGGCGAAAGCTCGAGCACGTGCTCTATCGTATGGCGAATGAAAAGCTGCTGCCCCACCTTTGCCCTAAGGAGTGTGGTGGTAACATCTCAAATCTTTAGTTGTTCAAGTTGGAACTTTGTGATGTCTGTTTGGTGAAGCCTCATGAATCACAATTGCTTGTGACCGCTTGTGTGAGCGGCGTGGTGGGAGACTGGACTCCAAATGAGGGTGGTGGTGGGCGTGATACGGTGAGATGCCTTTGCCCCGCAGGTGGCGCTTAATCTCCAAGAACGGGCCCTCAATACAGTACAGTATCGTGGGACGTGGTTGGCCCACATGTGGGTAAGTGGGTCGAGTCCGCTCCATCGCTACCTTCACCTCAATCAGGGACAAACATGTAAGGTGCCCGAGCCTATATAATCAGAACAGATCCAGTGCCCAATTTGACCACAGTCCACTCAAGCAAACGTACACTGCAATGACCTTCAACAAAGCTACCGCCTTGGCACTCTTTGGCCTTCTCGCGCTCATCGGAGCTAGAGCTGACGGATTGTCGGCGGATCAACGCGAATTCAATCCGCCCTTTACCCCGATTCCTGGAGTCACAATCAACAACGATGAGGTTGGTCGATACTGTATCCTCGGGCAGAGGGATACGCCCAAGGGATACGCCTGTTTTTCGCTCCTCGGCAACATCCGAGGCCGTATGATTGAGCACCAAAACCTGACCGGATTCATGACCGAGGCGGGAGAAGGTAAGTGCGACAGTGACTTTGATGTTTCGACGAGGGTATCAAGATGTGCTGACGACAAATTTCTGGTTCTCTGCGACGGTGCAGCCTTTGTGTTGATCGACAACGGCGCTACGCAGTCTTTTGCCACCGACGTAGACCACGTCACCGTGACTCCTTCAAAGCAGGCCCATTGCCTGCGTCTCACCGTTGAACGCCAGAAGGCCCCAGGCGACAAGGAGGCGAGGATGACCTCAACCTCGTGCCCAGCCTCGCCCGCATTCCATCTTGCAGACAAATGGACTGATCCGTGATCAAGCGTTTCCCGGGGGTTGTTTTGTGCCTTGGCATACCCATTTCGAACCCAGCACCCGTGCCGTCTTGTTCTTTTCCTTTCGCCATGCCACGAACATGATTCGAAATCTCATTCGTGTTTTCTTTCGCGACAGAAGGATGAAGATCGAGTGTCAAGCTACCGTCTATGATGGATTCACAAGTGTGCGCTGCACGACGCTCTCTGCATGCTGTTTGCATAGAAGCCACCTCGCGTAAAAATTGGGGACAAAAAAGTGCTAGGAAAAGGGGGGTCCAAAAAAGACGGCCTGAGAGAAAAAGAGGTGCTGAGGACCCTTGCAGAGCCGGCGAGGCGGGGAAGGAGGCATGCGCGACACGGGATGATAGCGGCTGCAGACAGCGATGGCGAGCGGCGTGAAATGATGGGAAAGGGTCCACACCCGCTGGTTGGCGCTGTCCCTGGCGCTGATAGCGGCGTCGCGCCTGTGCAGCAAATCAGAGAATCTCCGATCCGCAGATTCGCGGACTCAACAATCGCACGGTGCAACCCTCCACCCATCCTCTTCCTTCATCAAAGCGTATGTCATATTCGCAACCGCATCTTGCGATCCATCATCAATCCGCCTGACGTCGAAGGAGTCAAAATCGTCTAGGCACCCCGCTCGGTGCATTTGTTCATAATCATCAGTCCAACGCTGGCCAATTCGACCAATTCGGCAAGCCTTTTGGTCAGCAGCATCCAACACGACCCGCCATGCGCACGTAGAGTCTTTCTTGGACTTATTCGGGAAAGCCTTGAACTGAGAGCATACCTGCTCTCTCTTGACTAGCCGAACGACCAACCTGGTGCTCTGCTACGAAGCACATGCAACCGTCAAACTAGACACATCGTCTGTCGACAAGCACAGTAACTTCAGCCATGCCTTCTTCACCTCATCCGTACCGCTCAGCGGCACATCAGCTTCAACATCCGGAACACGCTTCCTTTTCGCCTTCATCTCGATCTTCGCCGCTGTACACATCGGCAAGCCGCAAATCGCATGCTGCCTACCGCAACTCGCCAGGTGCATCCAGTCCCGAGGTGTTCAGCGACATGGATCGTGCAGCTCTGCCTTCCGCACATATCTCAGCCTCTCGTCCGTACAACGCTTCTGTCGATCCGTCGCAGCAGCAGCAGCGACCTTCACCATCCAAGCGTCGCAAACAGTCTAGCGATGGCGCCGAGCTGCATGCGTCGTCGTCGTCCAACACCGCCAAGACGCCACCGGGAGAAAGCGCGGGATCGGATGGCGCAGCCGACTCCAAACCATCCACTCGAGTCGCCAAAGCGTGTCAGCCGTGCAGCACCAAGAAGCGTCGATGCGATGGACGTCAACCGCAGTGCTCTGTATGCCAGGTGCTGGGCACGCCATGCACGTACAACCACACCGGTCTCAAGCGCGGCCCACCCAAGGGCTTTCGTTCGGGTCCAAAGGAGTCGGCCCGGGCCAAGCTCATTCGCACGCTGGAAACGACCATTCGCGATCTCGTCAATCACCTCGGCAAGGACGATGCAGGCGCAGAGATCGTTCGTGTCTCTGGCGAGCGTGAACTTCCCATCAGCAACGCCCAAGCGCTAGCAGCAGGATCAGGCCTCGGCGACGCACGTGCCTCGAAGCAATCGGCTTCCGCAGCAAAGAAAAAGGGCGCCGCGGCAGCACAAGTCAAGGTGGAGGAAGGCTTGCACCCGAGACGCCACCCATCTGGGTCCTTTGAGGGCTCCAATGACGTCGGCGCCGATGTCGACCCGGCGGCTGAAGCCGAGGAAGATGTGATCGGCGAGACGCGCCAGGGCGAGATCGTCTACCGTGGCTCCAGCTCTGGCATCGGAATCCTCCAGCGTCAGCACCGCGCCGAGTCTCCATCTCCTGCTATTGCCGCTTCTCGGTCCGTCGCCTCGGGCTCATCGGCGCCCTTTGGCGGGCGCTCTCGTGACGATCGCGCTACAGCAGACTTGGCATCCCATCCGAAACCGCCCGTGTTTCTGCCCATCTCGTCACCACACATCGCGGGAGATGCCGACACTACGAGCTCTCAAGATCGGTCGCCGGGACGTTCGGGCCCCAGCCAACGCAAGGATTCGTCGAATCTGCACAGCCTCTACCCCGACACGAGCAGGGATGGGCAGATGTCGGGCTCGAGCGCTTCGGTGCAGGACCCAGTGGTGTCGGTGGAGGAGAACGACCGGCTCTTCCGATACTACTGGCAGGGCTTCCATCCGTTCTACCCGATCTTGTACAAGCCGTGGTTCATGGGCTTCTCGGGCGAAGAGCTGCGCGCGAGCCTGGAGCCTAGCCTGCTGTACGCCATCTACTCGATCGCCGCGTGCGTTGTCCCGGCGAACGCAGCGACAAAGTCGGACCAGGGTAGACCAGCTGCAGACGCGCTGAACCACGAGCGCGCGCAGTCGTTCTGCCAGGCGGCCGAACGTCACGTGCTGGCTAAAGGGCTGCGTCCGGACATTGCATCGATCCAGACATGCTGGCTGCTCAGCCTATACTCGCATGGCACGGGCGATTTGTCGCGCGCATGGAACTTCCAGAATCTAGCGAGCTCGATGGCCGTCGACATGGGTCTGCACCGGTGGCCGATCTACCGCGCGGAGATCGTGCAGGATCGGGTGCAGCGCGAGACGCGCATCCGCATCATCTGGCACTGCTACATCCTGGACAAGGTGCTGTGTGCCGAGATGGGCCGACCGGTGGGTCTGCGCGCCAAGGACATCGACGTACCACTGCTGTCCGAAACGGAGGAGGATGAGTTTGAGCTGTGGTCGGATCAGCTCGAGATGCAGCCTGCGGGCGCCTCGAGCAGCCAGCGTGGTGTGGCGACGGCCAATGCAGGCCGGCGCTTGCATGCGCCATCGTGTCTGAACTGGGGCGTGCATTTGTTCAAGATCGTGGAGCGCATCTTGGACGAGGTGCACTCGCTGCGACGCAAGGCGCTGCTGCGTCGGCAGGGCAAGGAGCAAGTGTTGGCCGAGCTCGATCACCAGCTGACCGAGTGGAAGGAGAAGCTGCCTGCCCACCTCCATCTGGACGACAGCCCGAACGAAGGACCCTTCCCGAGCTTTTTTGCGCTCAATCTGTGGTACTACACCGGTCGCCTGCTGTTGCATCGACCGTTCATCCCGCAGGAGGAGGGACTGCCCATGTCGACCGTGCTGGACAACGACAGCCACCGGCAGAGCACTTTGGCAGCCAACACGATCTGCGACCTGCTCGAAGCGTCGGCGCGCGACATTGTGGATCGGCTGTCGACCGATCTAGGCTACTGCCTGTTCACTGCGGCGGTGATGTTTGTGTTCAATGCGCGGTTGCCGGATGCCAGGATCGCGTCGGACGCACGCAGGCGGTACGGGCTTTGCGTGCAGTGGCTCAAGAAGCTGGCGGACACGTGGCCGGCGGCGTCTGCGCACCGGCTGCTGTTGGACGGCTTTGCGGTGGTGGGCGAAGACGCGTCCAAGCAGGGCGGCGACGCACCGCAGCGTCGAGCGAGCATCGCAGCGTTGCAAGCGGCCAATGCAGGCTCGGGCATGGCAGCGACGAGCAAGGTGTCGAGCTGGATCGCCGAAACCGAAGGCGCACTGCAAGGCTCGTCTTCGGCGCGGCGCGCTCAAGATGGCGCGGCGAAAGACGAGCGCGCCACGACGTCCAGCCAGGATGCATCGGCGATGTCGAATGCGAACGGCGCGATGGGTCCGGGCGGACCGGGAGTGCCGATCTTTGACGAGAGCTGGAGCAAAGGCAGCGGAGCCTTCGGCGGCGGCGGCGGACCGGTGAGCGAGAATGCGCGCCAGCTGAATGCGCCCAGCTCGCTCGACTTTGCGCCGGGCATCTTTGACGTCGAGTCGTTCTTCTGGAACGAGAACGCCACCGCGACGGGTCTGATGGGCATGAACTTTACGCCTCTGCCTGGCAACACACCGACGGGGTCTTCGCACGGGCTGAACTCGAACGTAGCTCCCGCGCCGTCGCCAGGCATGGGCTACGGCGAGTACAGCGGTGGGATCATGGCGAGCTTTGGGCCGACGAGCGCGATGCAGGGGGCAGCGGGTTCGGCCATGGCGTATGCCAACATGCAGTACAGCCAGGCCGGGCGTGGTGGTGCGCAGTCGATGGCGCCGCCTGCCGCGCCGGGCCAGTCGCGTCAGCCAGCAGCAGCAGCAGCGGCAGGAGGGATGTATGGCGGGGCTGGGACTGCATCAGGGGTCTTGGGGGTCTCGGAGGGTGGTGCGGGTGTTGTTGGGCAGCCCGGCGGAGATGCAGGCGGATCAGGTACTGCCGGAGCAGGCATGCCGACATCGCCGTTCGCCTTCAATCCGACCGCTCACAACATCGGAGAGTTCTGGAGCATGCTCGAGCTGCCACCTGCGTTTTTGCAGCAGTGATTCAATGATAGCGTGCCGACGTGTCAAGGCACAGCGCCGATCGTCGCATGTCTCGGCGAAGCCAATCTTTCGAGAACATGCGGCTGTGTGCGGATGTCAGGCGAGGGATGTGTGATTCGTTGCGAAATCCAAATTCGAGCACTGCGTCGGTGGGTTGGAGCTGCACGAATGCTCGGCGAGGTTGCCAAGCCGGAGCGAGCGTGCAGGGATGAGCTTTGCCATCCCATGGCAGGAAGAAATAAAAATTGCTCGCGAAAGTTGGTCTGGCGTGTGGGATGCAGCGGAATCGCCAAGCCCTTCTATATTTCTATTGGTAAATTGGAAATTCTGACAATTGTTTGCTTGTCGAGCAGCGCCAAAGTAGGCACCTAAATTGACGTCCGGCGATTTTCACTTTTTAATCAAATAGCAATGCATGCCCGGCTCCATTGGGACCGCATGGTTAACACTCTGCCAGCCAGCTGTCCACACGGTCAGTGCATGAAGCCCCCCCAAAATTGTCCACACGCTCACCGAGCTGCAGATGCGCCATGAATGCACCCGGCGTCTTGCGCTCGGCTCTGCTTGCCTCTCCTGGCTCTCGGCAGATGTTGCCTTCCGAGGCGCTTTGGCCCTCCGCTCAGGTCCTGCCAGTCCAGCACTGCGAGGCGTCAACAGGCGGCTAGAATGATTTGCATGAACAGCACGCGCTCTTCCCCTGAGGCGGAGTATGCGCTGATCGCCATTGTCCGCCCTTGGCAGTCGCTCTTGGCGGAGACGCCGAGCGTGGCCGTTCCGAGTGCTGATCCAACCCCCGCTCACTAGCTGTCACGAGTCAGCCGTCGTCCTTGCTTCCGCTTCGTACCTCTTCACCACTGCTCCCTCCATCATATCGAACACCCTGTGCTGGCCACAAACGCGAGCATAATGCGGTGCCCAACACTCTCGTCTGCAGCAGCGTTGCTACTGGCTGCTGCCACGGGCATTGCAGCCGACTATGTGCCGTTTGGTCACGAGCGGCCGCATCATCTCGCGCGGCGCGATGCATCGACACTAACCGCCAAAGAGAAGGGCACCAATCTGGGCCACCAGGAACACTCCAAGCCCAAGGCGCCCTCTGGCTCGCGCCTCACCTCGCTCTCTGTCGGCACGGATAACCACGAGCTCGCCGTGTACTGGACGCGCAGCCCGGCCAACGAAAAGGCCAAGCAGGCGTTTGTCATGATCCATGGCCGCAACCGCAACGGAGGCGACTACTGGACCACCATGAACGATGCCCTCGCCTCGGCCGTCAACGCCTCCTATCCCGCTGCCGATCCGAACGCGATCGTCGTTGCACCGCAGTTCTACTCGGAGAAGCTCAACTCGGGCCAGTATAAAAAACACGAGCTTGCGTGGGACGACATCAATGCATGGCAAGCCGGCGAGGCAGCTATCCACCCCACCGGGTCCAAGGAGACCTCATTCGACGCACTCGACGCATTCGCAGACGAGTTTACCAACACCACCAAGTATCCCGCGCTGGAAGAGCTCGTGTTTGTCGGACACGGTGGAGGGGGTCAGCTGATCAATCGCTACGGAGTGGTGGCCAAGGAGATGTCGACCTCCCGCGTGCAGGTGCGCTTCATCGCGGGCGATCCGTCTTCCTCTGCATACTTTACCGAGCACCGCCCGACGACGAACGCGGCGATTGCGGATAAAGCCAGCTGTCCGCTGTACAACACGTGGCGGTATGGATTCGACAACTTTACCGGTACGCTCGACGGGCTCAAGACACCGCAGGAGTACTTTGCGCAAAACGTGCGACGCGATGTGCGATACATTGTCGGATACGACGACACGGCTGTTTCGGGCGACCAATACTGCATGGCCATCCTCCAAGGCGGTGTGGCGAGAAGAGACCGGAACCTGGCCTGGTGGAAGTACATTAACCTGCTCGCGCGGACGGGCGAGGATGTTTCTGGATTCCCCGGCAATCTCACCGCCGAAGAATTGCCGGACTGGAGCAGTTTGTCGGGCGGACAACTTGCGCATACACTCACCGTCATCGAGGGTGCCACCCACAACGCCGACGAGGTCTTCGGCAGCAAGCAGGGCAGGACGGTGCTGTTTGAGAAATCCCAGACAAACGTTCAGCGTGGCTGGAGACCCAAGGGTTGGAACAAGGCCGGCACACCCGTCGTCTCCTCCTCAGCCTCAGCCTCCGGCGCGGCTCAAGCTCCCACAAGTCAAGCTACTACAGCCTCCACACAGGCATCCACCTCACCTGCATCCAAGATCCAACTGCCCGCCAGCGCAGTCCTCGCAGCTGCTGCCCTTTTCGCTTTCATCTCCCTCCTGGCCTAGATCTACCCCTCGCCAGCTTCCACGGACTTTTCCCTTTCCCCTCGCATCCCCATCTCTGGACTCAATGACTTCCGCTTCACAGGCTGGCCCTGTACATTCGCTTGCACACACAACAATCCTCAACCCGCATTCCTTTGCCCTCACCGCAGCATCATGTCTTACACTGAGAAAAACGTGAGAAGGTGAAATTACGACGACGCAAAGTGACGCACATGAGAAATCGAACAAAGCGCAGCAGATCGCACGGCGACGTCCTGCGACGCCGCACGTCGGCGCTCCAACAAGTTGCATCGGGAGAAGAAAGCGAAGGCGAAGCAGAGCGGGTGGTATCTACGTGCAAGGACCTCGAGCATCCTACTCGTCGTCCTCGCAGTCCTCGTCGTCCTCCTCTGCTTGCGCATCGACAGCCTCGGCGTCCGCCTCATCGTCGCCCTCGCCGTCATAAGCGCACTCGTCAACCACCTCAAAGGGGCACGTCTTGATCAGGTCCGCCGCCACCTCAGCCACCGCATACGTCGCCGACATGAGGTGCGACGAGAGCGAGATCGGGATGACGCTCGCATCCACCACGCGCACGTTCGACGTGCCGTACACGCGCAGTTCGTTGTCCACCACACCGCCGTCGTCCTCGTCCAGCATGCTGCACGTTGAGCTCGGGTGGTACTCGGTGCCCGCCATGGTGGCAATGAACTTGTCAAGGTCCGCGTCGCTGCTCACCGCCGCACCGGGCGTGGTCTCGGCGCCCACGACCGTGTTCAAGGGCGCCGTCTGACCAATCTTGCGCGCGAGTTGGAAGCCCGAACGCATGAGCTCGACGTCCGACTGGTGCTGCAGGTAGTTGGGGTTGATGATCGGCTTGTCAAAGGGGTTGTTCGACGCGATCTCCACCCATCCTCGCGAGAACGGCGCCTGGAGCGCAGTCTCGACCTGGATCGCCGAGCCCGTGCTGATACCCAGCAGCATCTCGACAGCTCCCTTGGCAGTACCCGTGAAGCCGTTCTTGCTCTTGGGCACGAGCAGATCCTCGAGCAGCAGCTTGTACTGCTTGGCCCAGCCACGACGCACGGCCTCGGGCACGTTGGTGGCCGACTTGATGTAATCAGCCGAGAACTTCTTGGCGCGCTCGAGGAAGTTGGCGGTCTCGTTGGCACCGTACATCTTCTCGAGCGTGACGTAGGCGACGCTCGAGTCGACAAAGGAAGCCTTCTTGGTGAGGTTGGTCTCGGACGGCATCACCAGGCCCTCGGCAGGCGAGTACGAGACGGAACCGGAGAGGTGGTCCTGCAGGTTCTGACCCACACCGGGAAGCTCCTTGACGAGCGTGACGTTGTTCTTTGCCAGGAGCTCCTTGCAGCCGAAGCCGGAGAGCTGAAGGATCTGAGGCGAGCCGATGGCGCCGGCACTGAGGATGACCTCGCGGCGTGCCGTGACGTGGACGCGCGGGGCGGAAGCGTCGGCAGCAAATTCGACGCCGAGAGCACGGCGATTTCCATCCTCATCGACTTCCGTGTCCCAGATGATCCTGGTGACGGTCTGGTTGGGAAGGACGACGAGGTTCTTGCGCTTGTTGGCGATGGGGTCGAGGTAGGCGTTGCGGGAGAAGGAACGCTCCCAGTTGTGCGAGTTGATGGTCGAGGTAGCGATGAAGGCACCCTGGTTCTCGCCGTCGTACGGGCTCTTGGCCTGCTCGAGGCCGATGGCGGCGAGAGTGGGCACCCAATCGGCGACGGGCTGGTAACTCACGCCCGGGTAGCTGATAGAGACGGGGCCGTTGCGACCGACGTACTCGGTCTGGTTGCTGATGCTTGAGTCGAGCTCCTTGATCTGGTTGGGCGAGAAGTTGGTGGACTTTTTCATGGCGTCGCGGAGGTTGTGCCAGCCCCAGGTGGCAGCATCGCCGGAAAGGCGGCCCCAGACCTGGTGCTCACGCTTGCTGGCAGCGACGTAGTAGAGGCCGTTGATGGCCGAGGAGCCGCCGAGCACCTTACCGCGAGGCCAGCTCGCGGCGCGGGGCTTGCCATCGGCATCCTGCAGCTTTGTCTGAAGGGCGGTGACGTACTGCCAGTCGAGGTCGGTGCCGACGGAAGACTTGAAGTAGGCGTTTGCTGGCACGAGCAGCTGTTCGTCGTTGCTGTAGCCCGAGTGGCCGGCTTCGATGACGGCGACGGTGACATCGGGGTCTTCAGACAGGCGACCGGCGAGGGCGAGACCAGCCGTGCCGCCTCCGGCAATGACGTAGTCAAACACATCATCGGTCACCTTTTTGTACGATTGGGCGATGGCGGCGCCAGGCTCGGATCGGGCCTGAAGACGGGGCTGATCTCCGAAGGCATCTCTCGAGTAGAGAGCCGGTTGCGAGGGAGACGAAGGGTCGGAGTGAAGATGACGCGAGCGGCGGTGGTGTCTCGCGTTGGTGCGGGATTCGAGCGATGCCGAGGCGAAAAGAGGCAGCGAGACGAGCAGGAGCGAAAAGAAGGTGGTCTTCATGATGGCAAGTACTAGTCACGAGGGGGCTGTGTCGAAGCTTAGTGGAGAGGTTGGGAGAAGGCTCGGGATGGCGGATTGATCAGGAAAAAACGAGGGTCTGCCAGAGGTCTTTGGATCGAGATTGGGTATGCGGATGCTGAGGGATGACGAGGCGGTGGGTATGGTTAGGGCAAGTCGACTTGTGGAGA